TTATGCGCTCTGTTACAAGGCACTGAATGCAGACGCCACTGGTGCACGTTTGAAAGGCGTCTGGCTGTCCCAGATGTGGGAGTCCCGCCTAGCTGCATAGCTCCGCCTCTTCACGGGCACTGGCCAATCCCATGCTCGGTCTCTCGGTCAGACTAGAATGTTGGAAAGTGGCTTTTAATGATATGGACTTGGGAAAAGTCTGTTCTGAAAGCAACGCAAAAACGGGTTTTCTAGGCACAGCAACCACAAACTTAACTGAATGGCAAATCGTTCTCGGGGGTAGAAATTTGGAGATAAATAACAATCATTCCTTTGCAAGGCGCCCTCAATGAGTTAACTCTCCTTCTAGTCCAACAGCCACTACTAAAAGTCAAATCGCTGCATGGCCTCACCCCAGTTTGGTGTTGTGGTTAGGAGCGCGGACTCTAGAGAACCGAGTTTGATTCCCCACGCCTCCACATGCAGCCGCTGGATGACCTTGGGTCAGTCACAAGTTCTCTCAGAGCTGTTCTCTCACAAGCAGAGCGTCTGTTGTGGGGAGGGGAAGGGAAAGGAGATTGTAAGCTGCTCTGAGACTCCTTCGGGCAGGGAAGGGCGGGGTATAAATCCAATGCTTTCTTCTTCTTCTTTACATCATCTTTATATCAGGTGCCAAAACATTTCGGGCCATGCCCACTTATGCAGTTCTCCGTACGGCTGCTAGTAACACCGGAGAGGCACTCACAACTAAAAATCTCACACCCCACTTTGCTCCACAGCAAGACACAATATTCTCTGGAACAAACGTCCCTGTTCTCCCCCCACCCCCCAAATGTATCATCCGATGCTGAGGAACAAGAACGCCGCACTGGCACCTGGCTCTCCCCGACACGGCACTTCACAGACGACATGTCCCAATTTGGTTTTTAAATCCCCCGGTATCCAAATGAACTTCCTGGCCTTCATGGTTGTACAGGGAAAACTGGCATCGGATTTCCGCCTTCCCACCACCATTCCAGCACATGACAAAGTCCAGTTCGGAGCAGAGAATGGTCGTTTCGTCTCTCTGCTCTGCCAAAGACAGCCAGTTTGGTGTCGTGGTTAAGAGCACAGACTCTAATCTGGGAGAACCGGGTTTGATTCCCCACTCCTCCACATGCAGCTGCTGATGTGACCTTGGGTCAGTCACAAGTTCTTTCAGAGCGGCTCTCTCAAGGGCGGTTCTTGGGAGAGCTCTCTCAGCCCCACCTACCTCCCAGGCAGTGTTCCCTCTAAGCTGAGTTAATGTGAGCTAGCTCACAGTTTTTTACCCTCCGGCTCACATATTTTTGTCTGAGCTCAGGAAGGACGGCTCCAGAGCAAACTAATTTATGCAGGAGCCAAACTGCTCACTCACAACTTTAATGCCAGTAGCTCACAAAGTAGAATTTTTGCTCACAAGACCCCACAGCTTAGAGGGGACATTGCTCCCAGGGTGTCTGTTGTGGGGAGGGGAAGGGAAAGGAGATTGTAAGGCGCTCTGAGACTCCTTCGGGGAGTGAAGGGCAGGGTATAAATCCAATCTCTTCTCTCTCTTCTTCTTCTCTGTGGCCTCGATTATGCCACTGTCTCCAAGGCCATATGAAATCCACGCCAGCTGCAGTAGCTGGCGTCAGGATACAACGGTCAGATGTGGAACAAGCACAACTCCAGGTGGGGCGCAGGGATACGGGCTGTGTAGCAAGGAAGTCGAGAACCCCTAGACTGGGGGTCCCCAACACGGTGCCTGTGGGCGCCGTGGCTACCAGACAGAAAAATGGAGGGCTTCTTTACAGAACAGAAAGTGAAGATCTGTTCTTGTATCCCCCCTGACAGCAGTAATTGCCAGTTTTAAGACTTGTTTGGCTAGAAGCCCAGGACAGCAAAAACCACTGTGTCGACTCTATTGACAAACATGGTTTATTTCTCCAGATCTGAGAGCTAGAGGGTCTTTTGAAGAAATGGGCAGTGGATGGTTACTAGGGGGAAAAGAGAATATTTCCCCCAGAAGTTTTGGACTGTTTTTTTAAAGAGCTCCCCTGGTCTGTTTTGGTTCAAGGCAATGAAGTTTTAATTTCTGTGCTGAAATTAAATTGCTTCTAGAGAATTAAGAGGAATCCTGGAGAATGATGAGGCCCAGTGTAGCACAATGGTGGCCTGGCATATAAGAACATAAGAGACGCCAATGTTGGATCAGGCCAAAGGCCCATCCAGTCCAACACTCTGTGTCACACAGTGGCCAGAAATACCAGTGCCATCAGGAGGTCCACCAGTGGGGCCAGGACATTAGAAGCCCTCCCAAGCACCAAGAAGACAGAGCATCACTTGCCCCAGAGTCCCTATCTATACCTTGTGGCTAATAGCCACTGATGGACCTCTGCTCCAGATGCCTATCTAATTCCCTTTTGAAGCTGTCCATGCTTGTAGCCGCCACCACCTCCTGTGGCAGTGA